TCGCCGCTTCCGTAGCCCCTTCTTCAGTAGCTCCTGGCTCCATAGCGCCCTTTCCACCTCCTGGCATCTCCACAGTACCTTGCCCACTTTCTGTGGCCTCTTTCTCAGTGGCTTCTGCCTCTGTAGCGCCTTTTCCACTAGCCACTTGCTCTGTAACACCTTCATCAGTGGCTCCTGCCTCAGTAACGCCTTCTCCACTCGCAGCCCTCTCCGTCACGCCTTCTCCAATCGCCGCTTTCGTAACCGCTTCTTCAGTAGCCACTGGCTCAGTAGCCCCATCTCCACTTCCTGGCACCTCCACAGTACCTTCTTTACTTTTGTCAGTGACCTCTGCCTCCGTGGCACCCTTTCCACTCACTGCTTCCTCAGTTGCGCTCTCTTCAGCGCGCTTTGTCTCTATGCTACCTTCATCTCTTGCTGCCCCCTCCGTAACACGTTGTTGGAGGAGCGGTTCGATGCGTTTTTCTGTGAAAAATGGTTATATTTTGTCATTTTCTTTTAGTTTCGAAAAGAGTTGTACGAACAGATTTGAAATTTGAATCTTTTTCTTTCTTCCAAGAGATTGGCCGTAGATCCTAATGCATCGCTGACCGTTTTACGAGCATTTTACACTTTATTCTCTTTCAACGAATAAGCAATATAGCCCTTTTGTGAACGGTTTTGGAATCAGTGGTAAATATAAGACTTCACTGAAATTTGTCAAAGAGTGGGCAAGACGAAGACAAAGTGGACTTCATTCTATCAGGAAATGAACGTGATAATAATTTTACAAGCTCGATGCATGAACTATTTCGTTTACTTACTCCCTTACTTTCACTCAAGTTTTATTTCAATACTGAGAAGATACAAATTCATTCAGGTAATAATCGTCCATTACTCGTATTGCAACTCTATGGTCGTTGTGTGAAATAACTCAGTCTTGGCATTCGCTGATAACTGCTCAATTAATGAACAATACACTCAAGATGACATTATTCCACTTTCTTTTCATCAGTCTACGTATCATTGTGTTGATTTTTACAAGAATCAATTACTTATTGGTCGCCTGTGGGAGTGAAAAGGTTAAGAAGGGATTTAAACATCTTGGTCATTAACCCATAAATTTATACGAAATACCTCTTATCTGATAAATCAATCGATCGATATCTTCATCCATTGGTCTATACCAGTCATTATTGGCCTCGTTACAATTGCCATTGAGGGCGTCACACGGATCTGTCCTTAGCGAATCCTGGTGTAGCTTTTCCAATCGTTTCTTTATGAGTTCATCTAAAATAGAACAAGTGGTTGATTACCAAAACAGGACCGTCTTATTTTTTAAAGAAATGGTGAGAAAAGTCTTCTATAATTCCTTTAATGTCACTACGATATACGAGTGACTTTAATTTATCAAGCTTTGAAAGATGGATAGCATCGATTCGTTAGAGCCGTAGCTTTCTTTATGATAACTAAATTATCATTAATTATGAAATTTTGGAACGTTTAATGTTAGACTTCAAAACTTTTCTTTAATTTTGTACTTTTATTTTCACCTGTATTGAAGACATTTTCTTGACGTAAGGGAAACTGTGCATTTGACGAAGTAACTGCTGCAAACAAAACTAACTGGAAGAAAGGAAGATAAAAGCAGGAATTTACTATAATACTGCTTCAAATAGCGTAGACTTGAATTATTCATAAAATATTCAGTAAATCTGTGGGCAGTGATAATTCATTAGAAGTAGATAAATATATATCGATCTATACTTGTTAACCAAGATCTGTTTCTGTTGTGGCCTCAACCAAATATATTGCGTGTTTATGGTAGGTTTAAGTGACAGAAAACCTTTGAAATTATTGATCCTTTTCAAACCCAGTCTCCCTCCAATCATTATCCGTTAGTCACGCATGACATGACATCTACGCCAATAATAAAACCTAAACACTATTGTTCGTCAAGACAGGATAAACAACAAGACGCAAAGACAGAAGAATACTTATGAGAGCATGTGACTCCAACCAATTGTTGGAGTCACATGCACAAGCTCGCCGACACATTTTAAACTGACTACAACCTCTGAAGTCTCTGAAGTCTCAACATCGATCGAGCATACTTCCTATGAAATTATTGTGGTCCGTAAATAAGAAAAAGCTCTTTATTATGCGCGGTTCATAAAAATTAAATTTATTCCTCTTTCAATGTACGTAAACATGTCGACGGCGATGTCATAAGTGTGGGAGGGATGCTATTGGCAAAAATTCGTGGCAATTTATAGTCATGGGTCGATGCGGCCAAAAATCGGTAAAGTAACCTTCAAAATGCTCTCCGGCAGTAAATTTGTTTTGTGGATTTTCTGGCTACTATGAAAACATTCCTTCATGAAATAGCTATTTAATATTCTCTTAATTTCCTCTTAGGTTTTATTTGTAAGCATTTTAACCACGGGTGCCAAGTTCACTCCTTATTTCACCTTTTTTTGTTTAAAGGTCATGTTTTAATAATTATATTAGATTGTTTTCATTTTTTCCGCTTTCGTAGAGGGAAAAAATACTAAACAGCCTACTAATAACTTAGTAACCTGTAACAAAATCCAAGAGCAGTAATCTTTCTTGGCCAAAATACTCCTCGCTTTAATTTGATTAATTCCTTACGCGACTGTTTGTCACAAGAGATTGACCGAAGCTGGTGCAGTGATTAAAATCAAAGCATACAATTTTAACAGAGCAGTTTAATAACATACGTTTCGGACCAATTGGTTTTCCTAGTCGTCTGCACCTGATAACAATCCAATTCATGTTGTGGGCTATATAGTTAATAAGTATGTAACCAAAGATTAATGCCTGCTTTTCTCTTCAGTATGTCTCCACAAAAATTTTTCTTGACAGTATTCTTATTTTCACTTTTTCCCTGTTAATCTTAGCCGTAGGGCACTTTCTTTGTGACTTAAGTATCTCTAAGGAATTGAATACTTTTCGTTCCGCTCCGTCTAATTTTCCGTTTTCTAAGTTGCTTTTTCTATTTTAAAAAAACTTTTCTGGAAAGGTTTACGACGCATTTTTCTTTACTCTACCTAAAGAGTGTTCATTTTATCTTAAAAGGAAAGTTACTGTTCAATTGATACTTTCGGAAATATCGAAACAGACACTTGGAGCTCGAATGAGTGTTAGGCATGCCTTTGATTCATACACCTCTATGTGTGCGGCATGTGCGGGGGCTTTCAAAGTATTTTCTACATAAAATAGAACATCAGTAAGTCTGGCTCTGACTATTAAGTACTCCATTAGCAAATTTACCTCGAAAGATCTAAACAAAATTGTCATCTTAGTAATCCAATTGATGAAGAATGTATATTATTACAGAGTTAGTGGTCTGGGTGCCGAAAGGGAAAAAGGAAAACCATAACATGGAACTTTACTCCCTCCTGGCTGTCAGTGTTATATATCCAACATTCTGGCATTATCGAAACGCACAGTTTACCACAAGGTTTGCTTCTAAACTCATTAAAACAAGATGCCAGGAAGCAACTTCTACATCGAATGAGCTTAAAAACTGATCGTTTATTTGTTGAGGAGACTGGATTTTTTCGCTGAATTAAAATACTCTCCTCCGCTCACCCAAGTATAAATTTTTTGTTAAAGAGGTTTATTAGTGTTTTAAAGAATGTTGTGATAAAAAACTTTCTTGGTGAGATTCGAGACCAAATTTTTGCTTCGGCTTTAATAACACTGGAATTGAGATCAAGAGATAATATATGTGATCAGCCATTTTTGCCGAACATTTTACTGAGTTACTCACCACACGAAGCGTAAGCCAGCTTGCCATGGAGTGCTTTTGAATGTGCTAAAAATAAAATGATGAGCTTCGCTTAAAAGTCTCTGGACCTACTTAAGACTTGCCATCTTGCCACGATTCTTCTTTAACAGCATCACTCGTGAGCTAGGCACGACCAATAACGAGTAATTTATTCATTGTCACTCGCAATGGGCTGTGCGCTACATTGAACTTATAACGCTAATTTAAAATGCGGAAATTGTTTGATAAAATTAAAATGAGTCAAAAGATTAATAAATTCAGCTACATGTGATGAGTTTTGGAGACTGAAGCAGACTGAGGTAAGCTTGAAGATTTATTGGTGCATTATTTTGTCCGATAAGCTACCTACTTGCTTCGCTCCCTCCGATGAGTTAGCCTATAACTAGGTTGGTTGAGAAGAATGTTAGAGCCTGCATCACCAGAGTTGCTACTAATTATGCAAACGTCACCATTTGAGATAATAATATGTTGAGAGAAAGAAATTGCTCCAATTTAACGAACAACTCTGTAGCGAGTGACGCCATTCTTTACGCGACTCGACCCAAACCTCCCCCGTTTTTCCCTCTGCCGCTTCAATCGCCACTTACTATATCGCGTGGATTTCGCGTTATTTTTCTTGCTGAACTCCTGGAACAGGTTACCAGCTTTTTAAAGGCGAACTAAATCCTCATCTCCCTACAATTTCAGTCTGCTCTATCATCGCGCTCCGTTTACTACCTGAACGCTTAGTACGGACTAGAAGTGGCTCTTCCTCTACCTTCCAGGTCAAATTAGAAGTAAACGTATTGACTTGTCAACGGCGTAAAAATCGAAATAAAACAGCAGAGCAACGAAGAAAATCGGCAAAAGACTCAACCCCACCTGGTGCTCTTACCAAACTAGGCGAAGGCCGCCTGTTGAGCTGGATCACTTCACATAATTACCTTACCCGCGCCGCCGTTTAACCCATTACACCCTAAAATCAGTACGAATCCTCTCCCTACTGTTGTCTATACATGTCTGAAGGATCTGACAAGGAGAATTTGTTCAACAATCAACAGCTTCTTTAATTGATGATCATTTCCTTTATTCCTGTGACCTTCAGGGTTAACAGGTGATTCAGGGGTGATATGGTAAGGAGAAGTTACATTTTGGAAGCTGGTCACTCTTAGGGGTGAAAGGGTGAATAACAATAAACAACTGAAATTTCACATCTGACCCAGTATCACGCGGGTGGGAGAAAACTAAATAAGAAGTATGCCAGTCGACACAAAAGTTTATTGCCAAAGTTTTGTTTCATATTTCGTCGACCTCGTCCTCGACCTCTTCGTCTTTATCCTGTTTAAAAAAAGAGAAAAAAAAAACCAAGTTCCATTGGGAATGGAAAAGAAAGTTTAAGTTCCTTGTCCACCCATTTACCCTATAAATTTATATTTGTGAACAAGTGAATCAGACAGGAAAGAGTTTCAATAATGTGTACTCATTGACTGGGTGGAAGATCGGATGGGAAAATGTGTGGCTCGCTATGCTAGGTACGTACGGCATGACTGGGGGCAAAATGTTTTTCCGTCCGGCCGGGTGTCTGGAACGCAGTGGCCTTATGGAAAATGCGCGAAACTCCACGAATAGAGGTCCGTGTTGGACACCTGCAGGTCGTGTAACGTATTGGGAAAACACTGGGTGATGGATAGCGAAGGAGTGACATCCTATCTAGGGGGGCAGTGGTAATACTCCCAGTCGCTTCATGGTTTGGAAATCAGGATAAGCTCCGATTGCATGGGTTACTTGGTTCGAGTACAGAACTTCCTTTTTCTTTTTTCTACCCGACTCTACCCAATCAATAGCCATTTAACTTTATGACGTCCGCTTTTTCTCGTTACTTTTTTCTTCTCTCTGCTAGAAGGAACCAACGCTGAGCCTCGCAGCACTTTAGAGCCCTGTTAGTGCATTCACTTCCATTGGCCTCTTCCTTAAGTTTGTTTTGTGATAATGTTTTTCAACAATGAACACTCAGGGCCATACGGGTGATGTGATAACTTGACTTATTGTTACAGTTTTACAATTAAAGCTAAACCTTAGAAAAAAACAAAAAACAAACAAACAAACAAACAAAAAAACAATAACAGGGTGGACGAAATCCAAAGGGTAAGGGTAAATTAAAATGAAAGAAGGATCGTTAGATATGAAGAATATGAAGCAAGCCGTGAGGCAGGTCCTTTAATAAGTTTGCAGTTATTTTGAGGGCTTGGAATGATCAAATTTAACTTAATTATACATGTCAATTAGTGCCCCCCCCTTCATCAAGTTGAGTTATTTTTGATTAACAATACGCCTTTCGTCTGTAACTGTCTCTCTTGGAACACGCTGTGCTGGTTAAATTTTTTCGGTTTTGATAAACAATTGTTACCTTTATTTTGTTATTTTCTTTACCTTTCTTTCCTTTCTTTCCCTTCTTTCCTTTTCCTTTCTTTCCTTTTTTTCCTTTTCCTTTTTTTCCTTTCTCTGTTGATGTGAAGAAAATAAATATATCAATACAAGAATGAGTAAGTGTGACAGCACCCTTGGTCTCTGATTAAAAAAAGGTAAAAAAGTCAGGTTTAGCGGTGAAATACTACGGTTTTTGCACAAAAGGTGTTACCAGAAATTACAAGGCAATGGGAATATTTTTCCGAATTCTTTAACCCCGCGCCACAAGTTTGTTTCCACATTGACTTGCAGTAATTCCAGCCGGTTTTAATTTGAGGGAGGTCACGATTATAGAATGAAACACAGTGATTTGTTTTTCACAGAAACTCGCCACCCACTTGAAAAGAAGGCCCCGCGTTATGGTTGCAAAATTCACTAACTTTTAGGTTTCTTAACAGGTGGTTTAGGTTTAGGTTTAGGTTTAGGTACGGGCTTCTTCGTGGGTGGAGCAACTGTAACAGGTTTCTCAGTCGGTGGGGCGTTAGTCTCAGGCTTTTTAGGTGGTCCACATGTTATGATAATGATAGGTTCCTCCGTTGTTGGTTCCTCAGTCGCGGGATCTGCGGAAAAAAATGAAAGAGAAAAAAAGCAAATCGACTTTACCGATAAATGTTACCCCATATCTCAGAGTACAACCCCTGAGCGTTGTAATAGCTAGGGGGCTTGCTTTCGGGCGGTCAGAACCCAGTTGTGCTATACGAGTCATACATAGCTACGCAAGCCAGTGACTCGCGGTGTTTTAGAAGTGTATAATTTTTGATAAGGCTGATGACAAAAAAGTTAAAGTTTGAATCCTGTGTTTTCTATGTGGACGCAAGGTATTGAAATCGCAAAGAGGTGCTTGTGTGCCACTTGTTGTTCATTCTTATAATAGTCGAGTCGACAGAGATTGTGGGAAAAAAATTGTTTCTGTTTTGTTACGGTACTTACTCCTCTCTTATAATACTTGATACTCCCTGACGGCAAAGGCAGAAAAAAATTGCTTTGATGTTTGCTTACACTTGTCAATACAGAGCAGCAAGAGAGTATAGGAAATGGGTAACCTTTGGAGGATATATGCTTCTCTTCCTTTAAGTTTAGGATTACCATTTTCATCTTGAATGTTGTCAACTCCGCTCGCTTCTGGATCCATCTGATTGATTTCAGGACCGAGGTCGTCTATGCTGCCCCGCTCGTCCATATTGTCAATTTCACCCACTTCTGGATCCATCTGATTTATTTCAGGACCGGGTTCGTCTTTGCTTCCCTGCTCGTCCACATTGTAAATTCCACTCATTTCTGCGTCCATCTGATTGATTTCAGGCCTGGGTTCGTCTTTGCTGCCTCGCTCTTCCATATTGTCAATTTCACCCACTTTTAGATCCATCTGATTAATTTCAAGACTGGGTTCGTCTTTGCTTCCCTGCTCGTCCATATCGTCAATTCCACTCATTTCTGCGTTCATCTTATTGATTTCAGGACCGGATTCGTCTTGGCCGCCCCACTTTTCTAAATTGTCCAGCTCTGAGAGAGGTTGATCTTGCATGCTGCTTCCATACACAATATCATGGTCGTACATTGGATTCCGAGCAGAACCGGGTCTGGCAGTTATCAAATTAACTGCGACGAAGAACGCCAGCTGTAATATTAGAGGAAGGGCAAACTTAGTTCGCTGCTGAAGGAGCGCAGAAAGAAGCAAGCGAGCAAGGCAAAGTCAGTTAGGTACAATATCATGGAAAAAACTGTATTGAAAAGCACGATGCGAAATGTTTAGTCGTTTTTTTAAAAGAAAATCACCCCTCGACTGAGTGAAAACATAGGAGAATTCATCTTATTTGGAGCCGGAATTGTTAGATTGTGGGGTGGACGATGAGGGGTAGGCCAGAAGGATATGCAGGTATAGTTACTGAAAGGGGAATTATATCATATAAGCCAACCATTTCCTTTAACAGCCAGCAAATTGAACTGCAGATGAAGGGCCTGGGTGGCCTGTAACAGTTGGCCAGATTACTTGGCAATTAGACACCCTTGCACAGCAATGCAGGGAGTCATACAGGATGACCTTGGAGAAGACCACCCTGCTGGTAGCTTGCGAGAAGGTTACCATAAGCTTAGTGGAAGTAGGGGCAAAGCGGCGAGAAAGAAGAACGGGAATTACCGTTAATTTAGAGCCTGATCGTAAACTACCCACTAAAATGCTTTGCTGTATATGTTTTTACCACAGGTGTCTTAAAAAAGGGGACAATCTTCGTTAAAATGATCATAACTCACCAGCAATAGTATTTTCCCTGGTGGCATGTCAAGGGCGCAATGTGTGGACTTGTTCACCAAAATTTGTTTCTACTAAAATGGTGATAACAATAATTATATTAACAATTATAATACTGATAATAGAGCTAATGACAGTTACGAAAACAACGATAATAATAATTTTAATAATAGTAACAATAATGTGAAATTATAGAATCATTTCTTCTTTATAACGATTGACTTTGTGCAAGATATAAAACTGTAAGTCATGCTATCAGCCCACGGGCTGAATTCGTTTGGCAGTACCATACCGGCGAACAAAATAATATTAAGCATTTCTCACAATTCAACAGAATTTTCTACGAGGCATCTTAAACTCTTTTTAAATGATACGTTTAAATTAACCAAAAAGAAATGTTCATTCTTGTCCAAGGTATTTCTAATTCACAAAATATTAATTAAAGCCGTAAAGTTACAACTGAGTCAAACTGTGAAAGTCACTAGGCGAGAGAGCTAAGCTTTACTTTTAGCATTCGGTTTAACCATCAATGTTTTATGTAATGTTTAAAAAACGCGCAGGAGTGTTTTATCGGGTTTTTGACCTGATAAAACACGTGCTGTGAGTTTTTTGAACGGCTTCAAAAACATTCTTGGAAAAGCGTGTGTCAAGAGAGTTCATAACAATTATGCTTTTGTGAACGTTAGAAATTAGCATACGAGAAAAACATTAACGAACAACAACACCAGGTTAGCAAGATTTTAGGCCCCCCTGAAAATAGGGAGACTGCTGACAAAAGGTCAAACGCAGAGGTTAGCGAAAACGAGTTGGGGTAAAGTTTCCGCACAGCCCCATACTATTGTAAAACAAATCTGTTTTCCCAACGGAAATGTATTGTTTTTGTTATTGTTTCCTCTGTTCAAGAACTGAATGCATAATGTAGGATGGGGCTGTGCGGAAATTTTACCTGAGTTGGAGTCACTTCTGCCAACTGATCTTGAATTCGAAGTTTCAGATGATGTATTGTCTAATATGCCTTTACCAGATTACTGTACTAATGGAATAGAGAATTTTTCCAGATGTGTATTTCACAACTGTACAATTAATTTGGTGCAAAAGTAAATTTACTGTGTGAAATTTGTTGAAAGAACATTAAATATGTTCCCACCATTTGTTGTGTTAGTTTCTGTGTTGATAATTAATTAATATTCATAAGTCACGTTCAGTGTCTTTATATCTGATAAAACACCGCATACTAATAAGGATGAGGTTTATTAATACAAAGTCACTGCACGTGATGTATTATCTACCATTTGATAGGTTAATGGGCTTATGAATTATTAATGAGTTTTTGAAATTCATTTTTATGCAGCGTGAAGTTGGGAAGAAACGCTTCCTGCTACATTCTTGGCATCCACTTTAGCGGTAGCGAAATATCAACTCGCTTGATAAATAATCAAACATATAATACAAAAGAGAATTCAATTTTGAGCAAAGAAACGCTTCACGACCTTGGAAATTATTAACAACAAAATGTCGAAGCCGAAGTTCGTACGCGAGTAGTGGGTGGTTGACTCAATGTCCGAACTTTCGCGGTTTGTCTACGTCAAAAGTCACGTGATGTTATACGTGAAAAGGTGAATAACTGACAAGTGCCACTTAAACAAATTTCTGGTAAAATAACATCATGAAGTGAGCAATATATCAGATGAGTTTGATTTGGTCTCTTATAAAGCCAGGGCTGTCTCAGAATTTTGCATAATTTTCGATTAATCCACATAATTACACATCAAGCAAATTACATTTGATTTGCGAAACCTTTTGCTAAGACTCTCTTGGCTGCATCGTATTCCCCTGTGATCAATAACCTGCTGATACATTGCGGTTCTATTGAGCGATATAACATATAGAAATTTACTTTGAGCTTTTTCCGGAAACAAGACCAAAACCTTGAAATTTCCCTACGCGTTTACGCCCATCACGATGACACAAAGATCCTTGCAAAACCAACCTTACGAAATTCTAAGATTTGTTTCGAAGGGGTCTTAACGCAGATCTTCACGTAAATCTGCTGTAAACATATACACAGTCGCAAAATTTTTGTCTAACCAACCACACACGCCGAACATTTTCTTTCAGGAGATTTCTTGGCGGCTTTTAACATCAAATTCGAATAATGGTCACCGTGGTTTAACTCGCGACGCATGATTGGATACTGATTTAACTCCCCGTTTGATCAACCGATCTCCTAATAAAATGAAAAAAAACAAACAAAACAAAAACAAAAAAACCAAAAAAACAAACAAAAAAAAACGACAAAACAATTAAACAAGGGACAATCTGTCGGGAGTCCATTTTGTGTTTAGCATTTGGTTTCATCATCGTGATCTAGGAAAACTTCATGATGCATAGTGTCCACATTACTGTTTACAGAAGCTGCTAATTGTTTCAATTCACTGCTCACCACGAATAAAGGCCTTCACAAACAATCCAAATCTTTTCTTTTGTACTGAAATCTAAGTTTTCAGGCGATCTGAAAATCGATGCTGAACAATAATGTTTGCACTTCTTATTCTAAGATCCAACAGGCACCATGCATTCTTTGCACTTAGCATATTTCCCTCACGCTTCCTTGGACACGTGAGTAATCAGAGTGGAAAAGTTTGATTTGCTTTCTCATATAGGTAAAGAAAGCCACTTTGAAGTTTAAAATATTGGCACAAGTAAAACAATTTTAGCAAGAAACGGAATGTCAAAGTGACGACGTGCATATACGTTCGGAAATTATTAGCGTGTACTCCACAAACCGCGGTCCCAACAATGGGCTTCCCTTCGGTTAAAAGGCGTATTTTGGAATGCCACAGCACGGAATACATTTAAATTTGAGTACATTTACCAAACTTATAACTTCAGAAAAAAACTAAAGAAAAATAATGAAGGGATCTCTAGTGAATAGAAAACTGGACTTAAAATGTACGAATAAGGGATCTACCAACAGAGAAGTCTTATTTGAAGATTATCCGAGAGTTGACATCAATGCGTGAACGAGTCAATATAATTGAATATTGAAGATCTAAAAGCAACTCATTCATCCAAAGAAAGTTCAGAAATTAATACTCTATTTTCTGCCTAATTATGTCGAAAGATAACTTGTTTACTAAAGGTTAATTTTCTAGAATTAGAACGAAACATTCTCTGTCACTTTTGGCTTACGTTGGACAAAATAATTTGGCTTTCTTTATATTGAAGTTATAGATATTTTCTTAAAGGTTAGTTGGTCAGTACTTTAGTGGTAAAACGCCTTCAGCATGCAACGTTGCCTTCCTAACTGAGTTATTTGAAGGCGTCTGAAATAATATAGTTAACATCAGTGCTGACTTTGTATCAAGGAATTGTTCAAGAATAAGTTGATTTAAGCGAAAAGAGCATGGTGAGGTTTACCTATGAAATATATCAAAAAATATACACTTTACCTTTCGGGACCTTGCTTTGCTTCGTGACCACAATGGACGAATGCAAATTATTTTAGGAGAGATTCTTTTCCCTGTACAATTACAAAGGGTGGACAAGATTCATGCATTTAATTGGAGATCACTGGAGAAATAATGAATGATTGGCAACTTTCATCAGGGGACTCTGACCTTTCCTCCAATTTCACAGCACCCCCCTCCTACGTTACGTCGCAGAAGTCATCGCAGTTGCAACATATAAGTTATTTGGCAAAATATTAAGTTTCCTAATCTTTACACAAATTGCTTCATCAGAATCATGCTTGGAGAAATTATGCCATGTTTTTTCTCTTGGACAGCTATGTTTTACTATATTGTCAAAAAGTGATTACTAACCCACTGGACCCTGTTAAGGAGTGCTGTTGCCCGTAGAAAAGAACTAAATAGAGTAATTTTGGGAAGATGAAGTCACCTGAGAAGAGGTCCAGCCTCAGTCCAAACCTCCCCCGAAACCTTAACTCTTATAAATAGTGTATGCCTTTTGTAATCCAATAAATAACCTATGTGTTATATGAATTGTTATTAAACAGTCTCTATTTGATACAAAAAATTTCATTTTTGGTGCTTTTGCGCCAATTTTCGCGACAAAACGCAAAGGGTAGTGAAAGAGAATGTGCTTGTGGAGGGAGGGCTAAAGTACCACTCCCCCCCCTCCCCCAACCTCCTGGTAGTTTTGCAAGAGACGATGGCTCATTCATAATGATTAATGGGACAATTTAAAAATGAGTTTGGCCAGTCACTGCCTCTCACTCACTCTCCAGTGACTGCCTATCAATTAACAGCACTGACGTAAATGAAAGGATACAATAGGTTTCATCAAAAATGGAATTTAAATTTAAGGGCTTTGTTTACATGACTGAGTTGCTTTTCCATATTCAATAAACTGTTCACGCTGTGATTTCAAAAAAGGATAGCAGCTTTCGTGGATTAATCAACATGTTGAACCTCGTATTATGTATAGCCAGGTATTTATACAAAGTAAATCATATTTATAGTAGGTGAAATTTATGTACTTATCTTTTGAGGTTTGGTGTATATCCTCTGTAAAAGGTCAAAGCCTTGCGTGTCGCGATATTCAAATGCCGCAATTTGCCCTTAGGAAAGAACAATTTTTTCAAGTGTGTGACGGTAACCGCTCATAGCTTCACGTTCTCCCCGACTTCTTGTTTACTTCAAGTAGTCATTTGAACTCTTATACTTTTAATTTGAAAGAAGCTAGATCTATTCAAGATTATTTGGTTTTATCCACTCCTTCTTCAGATATGTCTTTTATTTTTCTTCATAAATTTAAGGTTATTTTATTCTGTGACTTGGAGATCGGTTGATCAAGCGATGCGAATGATGTATGATAAAGCGTCATGAGTAAAACCGCAGTGACCACTATTCGTATTTTATGTTAAAAGCCGCCAAGAAATCAGCATGAAGCAGATTTTCATTGACGTAAATGTTATGACAAAATATTCCGTTGATTTTTTTGTGACGAAAAGTGTGAAGGGGGGGGGGGGGGGGGGGGGGGGGGGGGGGGGGGGGGAGACTGTGTGTTTGGAGGGAGGACCAGAGCCCACTTTTTAGTTTGCCGGGATGAACTACAACAGCTTTAATCTGCAATGAAATGTAAATGACGAACAAAAATAATTAAAATGTTGATGAAAATGTAAACGCCCCAATAACGCAGAATAAATTGCTGTTCTTATTTGACAAATCCCACATAACATGTTACACTACATTGAGAAGAATGATAGAATTATGGGACCCCACCTCGGCCACCATCTATAACACATCTTATTATATAAATCTGCTTTTATCTCTCGAGCGTTCGTCCTAAAAAAATATTCTCCGAGTTTTCGTGAACAAACGGATTTAATGTTGCTCTGCGTCTATTCAGTAATAGCTCACACATGACAAAAAAATGTGGTAAGAACAAAAAGTGGCACACGAAGACGCAGCCGGGTGCGTCACTGATGTCCTTGCAAAAATTTGAACTACTCTTGATCTATTTCTGTACTTACCCACAACAACATGGAATCCTTTTTATTTTGATAAATGTTGTTGTACCCTTAAAAGTTTGAAAGAAACTCTCACTTCGGGGTATGCGGCCACTTAAGATCGTTCCCAGCTGCAAGGCATTTAGCCGCAGCGTAAAAGTTACACAACCAGTGTTAAATTAAATATATATCAGTGAGGCTCTTTGGGAGTCCTTTCAGATAAATTTGCAACACACCGACGGTGGCCTTTCCCGGCCTTGATATGCACAACTATTTTGATATCTATGAACGCTGATAAAATTAACAAATAGATTCCAAGTTGCCGTGCGTCTGTTCAGTGATAGATCACAGATGACGTCAAAATGGACAAAAGGACAAAAAAGTGGCACACGAGGCTCAGCCGAGTGTGTCACTGATGTTCTTACCACATTTTGACGTCCTCTGTGATCTATTACTGGACAGGCGCACGGCAACTTGGAATCTATTTGTTTTATGTAATAAAGAATTACAAAAAAGTTTTATTGATGACGTCATCGATACGTCTGTCCTCCAATAGATCATGAGTGAGAACCAATCAGAATGCGTGCGTAACTGAGCTTATTATATACACAAAGATTGAACGCATTTCACAATTGTGCATTTTTAATACCAAGAATAACTACGGAAATGAAAAGCCATGTGCAGATTATCTAGTGATATACGAACGATGGTGGTATAAGGCTATCTACTAGTTACAATCATTGAGTCTTCCGGACAAAATGTGCTTACTAACTGCATGTATATAATGTCTAAAACAAGCTGATGGAAAAATAGTACATTGGAGAGAGTCCAATACGATACTAATAAGATCGCAAAACCAGCAGTTTCACATCATACTCGTTTGGAACGAAAATCAACTATTGACCAAAATGATAATAAACAGAAGCGAAAACTTGTTAGGGCAGGACATTCCCTTGGTTCGTCAAAGTCTTTTCACTAACGGCCTCTTCTTCCTCCTGCTGAGGAAAGATAAAAATAATGCAAAAATAAAAGTTTTGTGCTTGATGATTAAGAAGTCAATGCAATTTAATAATTGGAATGGAGGGCATCTCTCTCTTACTTGATATTGACCCGTTTTTTGAAACTTGTACAAGGACAGGGGGGTGGAGTAGAAAACCAGAGGGGGAAGGTAATTCTAATTAACAGCTTTTGCTTCTTACCTTTTCTAAATATTTTCCATTTAATTATGTGTCCTCTCCCGTTGTTTTTTCCTTTGCTTCCAATGTTTTTTAATATAACTGAAATGAGAAACCAAATTTTAGCCTTTCTGCCATGACCTTTGCACTGAGCTTCTGTAGACTTACTTGGTTTGCGGTGATTGGATAATATTAAGTGCATAATCATGGATTACCATAATGTAAACTTTGCTACTAGCCAGGATTTTTCGATTCGAATCAGGATATATTGGCCCCTAGTAGCCTAAGTATGTACCTTACTAAGTTTTGTTAGAAAGCCTTTGTTTTGAAGCAAACTGCTCCTACCTCTGCCTTTTTCATTTTAAGTAAATAATCAGAGTAAATCATTTAATACGCAATGAGTACTGTATCATGCTTCATACCTTTGTGGAGTTCTTCTAATAGTTTCCATTTACATCTTCCACCCACTGTTAAATAAGGGAATCGGGATTCAGGTAAAATAAATTTATCTTAAAGGGTTAATCATAGTAGAGACATACTCAACGTTAGAAAGGCGAGAGCTTACTACGGATTTTCCCTTGACTCCGTCTCCAATTCCACTTGCCAAGAGTTACTATGGGCTAACTAAGTTTGTTGTAACTAAATGATTTGAATGATTTTATTTAGTAACGTTAAATTTCTAGTCACGTATGCATGGACTCATTGTAGCCTGAGCCAATAGGCGAGGATTAAAATGACTTGAGAAGGGTCCAAAATATATCTATGCCTCATAAAAGAAACTGTTACTATTAGTATTGTAAACTGTTACTATTACTTCGAAAGGAAATGAGAAAATGGAATTTGAAAAAAATGACAACAAAACAGTCTAAAAAACCATGCGAGTATTTATACGTTGAATGGCTATATTTTCCCTCAAGGCCTTTACATTATCGAGTAAAGCTGGATTGAAAATCCGAAATCTTGCCATCTGAGTTCTCAAAAATTGTAGAAAGCGCGATAGGAAAGTCCGAATTAAAAGCCTAATTGCTTTTTAGCTCTTAGGACTGTTTGATTCTCACTTTTCATTGGTTTGTTTCATAAAATATAATTTAGCCGGTCAAATTCTCCATTTGAGCCCACAAAAGGCGGCACAATGCCCATTGCAACAAAGACATTCCTCAAGGGCCATTTTGAGTTCTAAGAAAATGACTCGTGCCTTTGCCCTTTGGATTTCAAGCAAAGTAAATACCTGCACGTAGAATTTCAACGAGGGCCACAGGTTCATTGGCTTTTTGGTTATTGCGTACTGCCCTCTTTAAAGAAAGAGTTTACTTACTTACTTACGTATGAAACAGCACTTACTGTATCTTTGTTCTTACCTCGTATCCAATTTTTTCCTCTGCATATGAGTTTTTTGCCTGTCGTTAAATTTGAATAAGAAACCGATAAATATTACACCCATCTTCAAATTTGCCTTTGTCCTGAAAGTTAATCATACTAGACACTTTGCACTTAGGAGTTTGCATTAACCTTAGTTGTTGCTAATTGAATTATTAACTAAACTTTCCCCATCTCGATTTCGAGAGTCCTGGAAAGAAACAGTACAGGACTCAGTAATTTTTTTGAGACCTTGCCATGTTTTGTTGGAGTCTTTCAGAGCCCTTTTCATTGTAAAGTAAATAGCACTTACGTCTGCATTTTCCTTTCTTTCCTCTTCGTCTTCCTTCTTTTGAAAAAGAAAATGATTTAGAACATATAGACATTTATTTCATACATATTAAGATTTACACATAAAAATAGCCTACGTAAAATTCTTACGAAATACACAACCAAATAATCAGAAAAGTGAACGACTGAGAAAATACATCGTTTGTTCAGTATCAGAGATACGATAGTACTTCACAGTGGAGGGCAACAAGCGCACAGCTTTTTGTTTAAAAAACGGAAGAAGAAGTGCTAAGATTTGCTCCCCCTGAAGGAAAAATTCATGACTTCATACATGACCAAGAAAACAAAAACAGGAGAGGCAGGACCGAAATGAACGTAAGCCTGCTAAAGATGGAAAGCTAAAAGATGGCTAAAGAACCAAACATGGAAATGACTACGAGTCTACATCTCTGCGAGGGTTGATTTTGCCACCTTTGAACGATATCTCAAACGAAAAACTAACAAGCTTGAATCATCAACGATCACGAATCATCGCGTTTGAGAAAACTCGCAGGTTTGTAAATCCGAGGCTGTCTTATTTTTTGGCAAGTGTTTATACTTCTTATTTCCAGGCATCTGCAAATTCGGATGCCATTTGTCCATTGAATTTTTAAAACATTTAATTATATTTGTCTCTCTTTTGATAGGAAAGACTCTTCGTCGGCAAATTAGTGAGGAAGCAAATAAAATAGGAAAAAATAGTTGTCAATAGAGACTGAATATCGCCCCACGCTGCGCATTTGGCAGTGTTTATAATAAAATTTGCTCTTACACTTTAATGGCCTCCTATCTTTGAAGTGTGTCAGTCAGTAAGAAAACAAAATCTCAGTATGTATGAAATAAAAACATCTTACAATGGAAAATGCTTGAACTATCGCTTTTTTCACGCGATTTGTCCGACTCTTCTTCTCTGGGATGCTTTTTTACTCGAGAGATTTCTTAGATTGGTGTTAATGCGCTGTTAGCTTGGAGGGAGACTATGTTCTCAACGTAAACTAAAAATATTCCCTATTAGTTACCGGTACGAAAAGAGAAAAGAGGTGCTTTTCAAAGAAATGATTGTTTCAGTTTTAAGTGAATTCAACACACTTACTGGACAACCATCCTTTGACAACTTAAGGTAAAGAATATTCCATACATAATTGGATTCCTTGAAATTAAAACAAAAATTGAAAGGGGAATTTAAATACACTCACTCTTGCAATTTTTTTTTTGCTGCTCCTCCTCTTCCTCTCCTTCTTCCTCTTCTTCTT